TAACATTGAAATAAAACATAAATAAAACAAAATCACACGTACTACTACAGTATTTCCAAATGAATATTTTGGTTTAGTAAGCAAATCATTTGTTGGAAATTAAATAGTGGGCCTACAAGATGGCTATGAAGTGCACTTTCTACTAAACCACACTACTGGTAGTAAATAAAATTATATATAGTCCGTTTTACCCCTGTGCTCTATACACACTAAAAAGTTTACTACTTTTTTCGTTCAAAAACATAATTGTACTTCCAAACTAGTCATGGTTTCAATCTAAACATTTTTTTAAACTAAAACTGGTACCACGCCAAGATTGTTAGCTGTTGTTTTAAACCACACCATCACCTTTGCTTTGAACATCTTGCCAATCATTACCACAAGCTAAGTTCAGGGTTCATGGAATTTACCACCGTCATAAAAGTCTTCTTTGTCTGTCTTTACATCCAAGCCGGTAAAGTAAATGATCATCGAATTTTGACGAGACGTAAAGGATTGTTGTTCAATCCTAGATACTTATATTTAAATATATTTAATGCTAGTAGGTTAAGAATGACATGAAGAATAAATATCCCCACGTACTTCTCAGGTCTGAGATACTTTTTTCGTAATAAAAGGGACCTTGGGACTAAAAATGAATTCGTATAAAAAGGTCAAAGGCATAAAACAAAATTGTTAAATCAGCAAATCAATGAAGTACTTAATATAATAAATAAAAAATAAATGTGAATATTTGTTTTTGAGTCAACTAAATCATATGAGCGTACATAAATGTCTTCCTTTTGTTGATCAGACAATTTGTTTGTGTATTGTTTACAGACTTTAGGTCGTGACTATAATAAATGTTTATAATATCTGAGTTATGTAATAGTAAAACAATACCCAACAAAAAATTTTATTAATCACGTAATATTATATAACTTTATGATATATGATATTATAGGCTTGGCTGTATCAAAGCTTGTCGTCGTCTCAGGAAGAGTTGTATTTGAAAGGTTCAAATCTCGTTAGTTACAATCTCGTACTGTCACGCATCGATAGTTAAGTCACATAATGTGACTAGTTAGTCACATTATTAATGAAACTTTGGTAGAAGATCATTTATATAAAAAGATGGTGATAATCTCTTTATATATATTCTCCACTGATCTAAAAAGACTGCTTTGTACTAAAATAGAAAATTACATATTCATGTAGATACAAACAATTAATTGTATCGTCATTTTTAAAGTTAAGATTTTCGTTAGAAATGGAATATATATTACCTTTATTGTTTTTGTATTTTATCATTTGCTTACTACTTTAAGGTATTCAATTACTTTGCGTAGTTTAAAATGACTCTATTTATATGAATTGTTTTTCTGTTTCAATTAGAAAAAGCAATGGGATATAGATAAAACTAGTGTTATATAAAAACTGTTCAAAATAAAGAAGACTAAAAAGCACTTTACATGTTGACAAAGTAGGAATTATGTTAGTTCTCGTTTATACTAGGGCTATATGTATTCTAGAAATATATTGAGTCAGTAATTGATGAATAATTATCAAGTCTAAATACCAGTTCCGTCCTATCATGTTGTATCCCGCTTTCCTACGTTATTATTTTCTCGTTTTTGCAGCTTAAATGTTCGTGTTTTATAATATGTCTGTGTGCGTTTGTGTGTACTATATGTTATTGATGCTGACCACTTTCGAATAATGCTACAAGAACTGGCCCTGAAGATGGCTACAGTATTGAGTCGAAACTAGGTACCATAACGCAACGGTACCGATCAAATAAATGCAGGCATTCACACCATTTTATAGGATTTATGGTTAATGATAAAATATCAATAATGATAAATATTTATGCCAATTTTTACATGTTATTAAGCTACATAGATATCTATACTTTTAGTAGTTATATTTTATTCAGTAGTTGGTAACGAACTAAGAGAGACTTTACTGACTGACAATAGTATAACGACATTTTGTATTCCCCGAGGGAATGCTACCCAAACGTATTATTATAGTAAACTTTAGTATAAATTCATGAAAAAACTTAACTAATTTTGAATTTAAATATTACTTATCCTAAACTCTGTGTTTTCTAGAATTTGAAACAATTACAGTTTTTTACTGCTTACTTTTTTGATGTTTTAAAAGCTGAACTGCTGTACCTAAAGTAGTCCTGTAGTTTGGACTAGAGAAACACAGAGTACTTCCCTTTATAAATTAAAGGTGCCTCGGTTTATCGCACCAGGAGCCAGTAAACCAAGATTGTGTTGAGACAGGTGCTGAGAATCAGCAAATGCAAAGCAGTTTGTTATAAATGGCTCAAGTTTAATTGAAAAACTTCCGTGAGGAATCTCGTTACAATAAATGCACAGTTTGTGTTGTTTGTTGGTATCAAGGTGTAAACAGTTGGCAATAAACATATGAGCATTACTGCGATTCGCGTTCATATTTTTGTTGGTGAAATAATAAATTTGTTAATAGCTTTCCACGTGTTTACTACAAGTAATGTGAGAAAATACTTTTTCCAAAACAGTTGTGAAAACTAGGATTACTATTAACTGAATTAATATTTGTATGTATGTAAAATCAATGCTATGGCACTCTTAAACCGTTCATACTATCGTTGGAAAACTAAACTATTCTACATAATATCTGGGAAAGTTTCTGGTTTTGATTCATGGAAGAGCTATGCCCTCTAATCTTTCGAGGCTTGTAATAGTTTTCTGTATTTATTTGGTCCACAAAGTGCTCAATCTGGGAGAGCCTCAGTACCTCAGCGAAAGGCTTATGTATATGGAGGAGATATGGCTGCTTGGTACTCGTTTTGACCACACGATCTACTTTTCTAAAGTGAGGCTTGAGGTTGGAAGAAAGTAAAATTAATATTTCGGCTCGCAGTTGTATAATGACCTTCCTCAGGACTTAGAAGTCCAAATCCTATGGTTTCTTCAGGGCCGCAATAAATAAAAACAAAAATTTGGCTAGTTTAGATTTAGTTTTTGACTTAAGTAAGTTTGAAATTTATATATACATGAAACTCGCTTGTAAATAAAGGCCTTTTTATTCATTTATTTTGTTTCCATAGTAAAAGTAAAAAAATTAATTTGTTCCCAGTTTAAACAAATGTTTTTGTTCTGTTTTGAACGGCTAAACATTTTGTTGGAACATCTACAATGTCAATGTTTACATACTATGAACCAATTTTTGTTAAACTTGCACTCATCTTAATGACAAAATCAAATTAACTTATTTGTAGGTTTACGTGGGAAGTTTGACCCAATCAATGATCTCCGTTGATAGTAGGATATAGGTAAACAATGTTAATATATTTAAATGGCTTGAATAATTTGAAAACAGTAAACAAACACGTGTGATCTATTAATCAATTTAAATAATCATCTAGGCACAGTCCATTTGCAACAGCAATACATATGGAACATATGGTCAGAAATTATTTCTATCTTTACTAGATAAGTTACCCTTTATATAGGACACGTTTTGTCTCTAATATCATGCATTAATGATATGTGAGAGTGCACTACTTATAATAATGCTACAACATAAATTGTACAAGTGTTTATTGTTGAACTACAAGCTGTAGTAATGAATAGGAATATTCTCCGAACAGGAAAGAATATTAAGTCACCTTGTTCAATTAATTGTTGTTAAATGACCACGTGTGCTAAATTAGGTGTATTTCATTATTCATACGCGTTGAGCATTTTCTCCTTTTTCATTATATGCTCCTGGAAATAGATTTTTATTCCACTTGTTTCAAGTCTTTTTATTACACAAAATGGAGGTAAGGCTGCCTAAAGAAGTGTTTAAGTGAACAAATTCACAAACGTCCACACCCAGTAATATCAATATTTATTTGGAATGTTTGCGTAACGAAAATCCTTAACCTCCGTTTGTTTACTACGACAACTGTTTTTGATTCGATTTCAATTTGCATTTCGCCACAATGACAATATAGCCTATTCTTTATACGTATGATGTGGTATATGTAATTACTCAAAAGTTGATTGTGGAAAACGTATTCTTACTATCTTTAAAAATGCGTTTGTTACAAACACTATTGCAGCAACAACAGAGTAAAGTTTTTATGATGTGTCAAATAAAGGTAATTGCCTTTATGTGGCTTTTTTAATTACCTTCATTAGGCTATTTACCATAATTTTACGTACAATGTCTTTGTAAAATTATGAAATGAACTCATTCAAGTCGTTAATCTAGTATCACCCCTACATTGATTCATAGGTTTTATAAGCTTGGACTATTTCAATATCCAATTAATATTCAATGTTATAAGTAAAAATATTTGATGGGCTCTACTTACAACCGGATTTCATGTTAAATTTTGTGTGTTAATAATTAAGAATGCACTTTTAATCCGTACGTGGCTAAGAGACTTCCTCTTATCGCACATTAAGGACGAAAATTTCTATAATTTACTCCGAAAATAGTAGTGTTTTCATCCGATATACGAAGTACCTTCTTAGGCCAGTCTTACTATTCCAATGTTTGAGACCATTTTCGGTCCTAAAGAGAGAGTTACAGGAAACATTTACCGTACTCACCACAGTCTGGCCTGTTGGAACCAGAGATGGCAAAACCAACGTTACATGGCAACACTGGTAAACGCATGCTTGAGTTATTACAAGCTTCTTAAAGAAAAATGAAAATTTCGAAATGTTTTCTTTCATTTTTTTGTCTCCGATCCTACAGTATTTCCAATAAGTTGACTTCCCATTACAGTATGAATAACCAAAGAGAAACTGTAATAAAAAGTGACATTACTTTAATTATTAAAGTTCATACCTATGTGAATAAAATTGTAATCTTTTTATAGTTTTTAATAATTGCGTTTCACTATTACAAATGCAAACTGCCTTATTGCATGGTTTACTGTTTTAATATTACTTAAACAATAAGGCAATTCATCAAAACTAATTAATATCAAGATTTATGTGGACGGTTTATTATCTTGGAAATATATACAAGAAATAACTCCTGGCTATAGCTCATATTATATTATACATGAGTTTCATTTCAGTGTTTTTAATTTTTCTTGAACTACAGGTAAGTTGTTCTGAATGTTTATTTTATATTATATTATATTATTAATGTTTAAGAATATGTATTTATACAAAAATCTGTTTTATTAGGTTTTAGTTATGAGAGTAGAAATATTACGTTCTCGAAAGGGATTTTTTCCTATTGATATTATTAAGATAAAAACAACTTTCTATGAAGACAGTTATAAAGTAATGTATAAAGTATATAACTAATGTTGTATCAAAATAGATTATAAATGATTAAGATTATAAAGCGGATTTTTTTACTATTATATAAATTGGAATGAACTATTCCCTAAAATAAAAGACAGTAAAAAAACTAGAAAAGTTTATGCAAAAATCGTAATGCTTTGGGACAGAGTGTTGTTTTTTATCCTCGAATCGTGTTAGCTGTATTCCTTAGCAGAACAACACCAACGAATACAAATGCATTAACACAATAAACATTTTGATATATAGTCAATCTACCGAGGTAACGGAACGCATGCAAAAACAACTACAATCCAAACAACATAAATTTCAATAATCTCAACACTAACAACAACCACACTGAACACACACTGACCACATTACTTATCCGCAAATCCTAAAAACTTTACATCACTAGTGGCTGCGACAGATTTTAAATCACTATTTCGTAGGGAAATGAATTTTCTTCTTATATTACGCTCTCGTCTAAGATTCTAGTAAAAAAAAGACTCAGTCTGCTCACCAACCAATGGGAAGAGTATTTCAATCTGGCAAAAAGAATAGTATCGACGATTCACACTTAAAAGTTAATTGTCCTTCGAGCCTTTTCAACCACCAATTTTCTTACTACCAATAATATAACAATATTACCGGCAAGAGTAAGTGGAGAATGACTTGATATAATTTCAGGGGCTGGAGGGTGGTCCTCCCAAGACGTGCCCTGATGGTAAGTATTTCCCGGACCCTGACGAATGCCGTGTGTTCTACCAGTGTGACCGAGGAAGACCTGTAAGGAAGTTCTGTGGACCCGGGACAGTGTTCAACCCCAAGTCCTGGGTCTGCGACTGGCCATACAATGTGGACTGTGGTGCCTCACATGAAACGGTACTCTTTTATATACATAGGTTGTCTTCTGGTATAGTTTAATTGGGGTTAAAGGTTTTTATGTATTGGAGCACTCCATTTAAAAGACTTAACGTGAAAAATTAGAAAACAAGTAAAATTGTACCGATATTGTTTAAATTTATATTCACCGAGAACAAATACTACCGAACACTTAACCATGATACGTTTATGTTCGTAACACTCTCGTTTATTATGAAGACACGAAAACTTTCCGAATTTGTTCATAAAATTGTACAAATGTGTTGATTTCAATGTGGGCCCTAATCTTCAATATTCCATTAAACTACGTTTATGTTCTTCGTAGTATCAAGATTAAGTTATTTTTCAACCACTCTATGATAATATTTAATCCAAGTGAAAGAGCAAGATTAAGCAGCTGGCCATTTGTTTAGTCTGCAAGTTTGCTGCCAACATTTCAAATAATTCAATCTAACCTGTATATTTCCAGAGTACAAAAAGTCCCAACCAGTGTAAAGACGGATTTGACTACCCAGACCCCGTAACATGTCCAAGTAAGGTATTCTACCAATGTATTGGGAAAGAGAAAATCCAGCAAACGTGCAAACACTGGTTAGTTTTCAACCCGAAGAAATGCAAATGTGACAAGCCCACAAACATCAAGTGTCAGGTATGACAGCATTATTGGATTAATATAGAAAAAGTTATTTATATAATTATTCGCACTATTATTAGTAGTTAGAGTCCTGCATTTTATATTCTTCATTAATAAACGATTTTAATTTTGACTGTTCAATTATTCAATGAATTTTCTGAAAGAAAATGACTCAAATGACTACTGTGTATGCACTTTTTATTTTTTAGGTAATTGAAACGTGTTCTTTATCCTAAAACGTATATTTTGTTTTAACTTATGATGAAAAATGGCTGAACTAATTCCTAAAACCACACTCAAATCTATAACACGCAATGTAAATTTGATAATTTAGTACGGTTTTTAATTTTTTCTAGGATGCGCCAAGTAAATGTGAAAGAAAAATTGTTCCTACCCCTACTACTCCTGGTATACTTTGGAGTACTACTTTTGATCCTAAGGACTACGAGGAGCCTAGTACACCTAGTCCAAGTGAAGAACCTGAGGATTACGATGATGATGAATACTACGAGGATGAGTAAAATGTACAGTATTTCATGTAAAGATTTACTACATTTATTAAACGAGTAATTTAGTTCCGGTAAACAGATCACATTTAGATATATGCCAATTAGATTATGTGCTGTAAATACCCTGAAAATGGCTGAAATAAATACCTAATAATATAATTTATATTATAAAATATTTTCCAGTTTCTCCCAATATAGTTAACTTGTTATAAAATACAGTGTAGTAAACAAATAAAAGAACCATTGAATGTAATTTCTATTAACTATTCTGTAAGAAGCAGTAGGCCTACCACAACATCATGTTTCCTGGATAGTAGTGCCATCCCTAAAATAATAATCCTAAAATAAAAACCCATGTTGTACAACAAAAGTTATCGTTGCAGTATTAACGGTTGCATATTAAAATGTGTAAATAGGTACAAATCTTAAAAAGATTGAAATGCCGCTTTCTGTATTGCTGAACTTGGTATGTATTTTTTAATAAACAAACTCTAACAACGCAGTTACTGCTCAGAACCACTTTAACATTCTGGGATAGAATAATGGATCAGTCTTCCAATTAAAATCATAAAATTGATCACGGGGTAAGATTCCGATGAGTTATACATTTAAAAACGGGGTTGTATACATTCTTATATTTACTCTCTTTTCCACAAACATATTTGGGAAGTAATTATTAAACTGTTAAAACTAGAATTCAATCTCTCAAGTATCAGATTTAAATATTGTAGAACCATAGTCTGCACTCTTAGTTAATTGTCCAAACGTTTAAAAAGAAATATTTTTCGCCTTTCTATGACCGATATGTGTTGCTCGCATACACATTGCCATAAGGATTTTTTTTATTTTACACGGAAGTTTAAAATGGGAAAATCTCCTTTTATTTTATGGGCAATGATAATTATTTTTTGGAGTTTGAAAAAAACTTCCTCCATTGTCCAATATGGTGACCGACTTTAAAATTGTCAATGGAACATCCTGTGTTCCATACACTATTTTGGGGTAATATAGTACAGTAAAAATCTGTTTTGACTAAAATAGAGAACAATATGTTGTTGCATTATTTATTTATTTATTTATTGTACAAAACCGCATCATGAAAATTAGTTAAATTAAGTAGCGCCGTGGTAGATTGAGACATCGGGGTACTGCAAAAACACCAGCCAGGCTGTCTGAAGATAAGGCTGATATACCCGTTTCCCGTCCGGAACATTAGAACCCATATGCGGATATATCCGTCTCCCGTCCACAAAGGGTTATGATTACCGAAATATTTGGGGTTTTATCAATACACACCACGTCCTTTTTTGCCACGTTAATTTAGTTATGTTACTTTAGTTAATTTAGTTAATTTAGTTACTTAATATAAGTAATAAGAAAATTTTTTGGGTTATACAATTTTGGCACTTCGATTTATTTTATGCGTCTGGTTTTTTTATCGTCGTCATACGGATATTTAGTTATTTTTTTTACACAATACATTGATATACAACTGGAAACAAGCCAAGTACTTTCTATGAAGATGCTGTATTTGAAACGAAATTTGTAAGCTTAAATCTCTACATTGTGAGCTAACACTAGCCATTACAACACCCATCATAATTTGATTCCAATTGCGAGTGACGATTTCATCAATGGCTTACTGAAGAACGACACGTCTACAGAGAAACAATAGTGATGCTTTGTACATTATAGGTCAAAAGGTGATACAGATACAATAGTCTCTTAATGTAACTTTATACGTTGAGCTATTCTGCTTTCACCTATACCTTTTGATGGTTTCGTTTCTATGAGTCAAATACAAGGATTAGATATCGCCCATTTAGGTAAGGAATCATTCTAATCGACCTGAAAATAGAATCGTAATTCTGATGAGTCGTGTATGATCAATGTTTCTCTTATGAGATCAAGGATGCAGACCCGATTCAGTTTCCATCAATGGGTAGTTCACCATTACTTCTTTGCGAATTATTCTGGAAGGACGATAGTTGAAATACATGTACAGCACTCATTCGGAACGAACCTTTTACGAGTCTACTTTAAGCTTGGCCTTCAAATTTAGAGAGTTTTCGGTGGTTCTATAAAATGTTTGTGGATTATTTCTTTAACACACAGTCAACACATTATCAATTGGGAACTTAATATTTTGCTTTTAAATATGACGATAGTTCGCTTTATTGCATATATCTACAAAGCTACAACGCTAAAAGGTAATCATATAGGTTACTGAAAGTGTGTGGCATATAGAGTATATATGTAAATACTTAGTCATACGACTTATTGACAATTATTAGAGACAACTCAATGCAATTTCAGTCTGATTTTAAAGTGAATAGGTTACGAAATTAATGTGTATTAGATAACATTACGTATCATAATGTATATTACGTATGAAAATATATGGTTTCAAATTGCATTGGCAGAGATTGAACTTTCTGTAAAGCCTCGGCATATAATATAAAAGAAAGTTGCCTTTATAGAATCAGATGGCGTCTAAATGCACTGAGAAAGTGCCTCAGCGGTTCTATTTGGCTCTGAGGTTTATGTAAGACACTTCACGACACCGTGACTATGAATTGTACGTCATAAGTGTGAGTGAGTGCGTGTGTGTGTACGTGTATAGGTGTATGTGTGTGCTTGAGTACGTCACGACTAAATGTATAGATCACCTTTCAACAGATTTCTCAAGCTGTATGCTATGCCCGTTTGACTCGACACCGCAAATAAAAATATGTTTTGGCATTGGTGGTTATTTTATAATTATAAAAATATATATAAACGACTTCGTACGTTGTAGGTTAGTTTATCTCTATGAAGTCGGGTGAAAATAAAATATAAGACATTGTAGAGATAAGAAGCCATAAAGGACTGTTATTTTGAGAAATCCTTTACTAATAATGCTAAACCTAGAGACGTAAATCCCTAAATCTTAATGTAAGATTCCGAATAGGTTAGGTTGTAGAACCAAATCAAAATTGTTGTATATGAATCAACATACTTTGCCGTAAAGTATTAAATATTTTAGAGCTATTAGACCACAGCTAGGAATATAAAATAGCAAAATCACTTGTCTATCAGTGTCAAAAACGATTTTAAATGGGAATCATAAGCATCACCGTTCAAATTAACTCGGAAATAGACAAATATTCCCCCTTTCACTTTTAATTAACTTGATTACCCCGGATTCCATTTACACCTTTGTAAATAACTAAATGAGACGAGTCACACAAATATCATCTATGTTAGACAAATTATGCATTTCATAACATGGTTATGGTGTGGTTTACATTTGTGGATGTTTGCGTATTTCCATTAACATTCACCAGGAAAATATTTACTTTACATCAAGTTAAAGTAGCCTAGTTGTTTAAGTGTTTAGATACGATAGCTTATTAAAAAATTGTTTGATACTTTTTCACTTTTCAGACAGTTTTTACAAGTATGTTATGGATTGCTGTCATCGAGTCAAGCCATCAAATAATTATAACACAAGGTTCGTTTTGGATGGTCATCTTCTCTAGCGTGTAAAATAAACAAGACAAGATAAAAAAACAAAAAAATGTGACCAAATCAAACTGAATAATCTATAAACATATTCTCAACCTATAGCAATAGATTGCTAAAGTCGTGGTAAATCGTTGGGCGGATAGTGACTACAAAGATGCATTTTACCAAACATCAAGTATATGTAACTCAAAACATATGTATAGGCAAAGAATATATAGTTTTTCACATTTCCTTCTCCTTGATTGAATTCACAGAAATCCTACTTAAAATGTGTAGACATACTCAACCCCTTCGACGAATATTCTATGCCAACAAGAGTCACTAAATCAACGCTAACTGTACCTTGATGTATCCCCAAGACCATCGCTTAGTGACTCAACGCAAGTCAAACAATGACTCACATGAATTAATTACTAACATCTCCAAATGCTCAAAAAGACTCCAGTCACACGCGTTAACCGTCAATACGTAGTAATCGCAACAATAACACTTGTGCCCAGAAGCGTGTGACTTGCGGAATTGGTCGTGTAAAGCTTTGTTGGAGGATAGAACTCCCAGAAGCATTGTTGGAGTGTTGGCGAATCTTCAGAGCATTGTTGGATAGCTCAAGTAGAGCCGTTATTTGACACCGTCTTGACAGGTCACGTGTTTATTGTGGCCATCTCAAAGTTCACGTATGTCGCGGGTCGATGGCTCCGATGAAAGGATGAACGACAATAACCTTCTCATTGTGGTAGGAAACTCGCGGACAATTGGCAATCACGTTTTGTTTCTTGCACTTGATGATCGGAGCCGCTTATGCTTTGATGATCAATTAATCAGTTGTTCTTTGGTTGGTAATTAATTAGTGAGGTTTGTACTAAAGATGGTCCCTGGTGATTTCAATTATGGTGAAGTGGTACTTACCGTTGCACCCGTACAATTGGACTGTTGTGGAGCTGCAGTCAATAAACGGTACAAGAGAAAATACCTTGTCACGACACTGAAATGTCTAGGATGTGGTAGTAGTCTTTGTGTTTAACAAGGGTTTTATTGGTAATCCATACAGCGAGCGTTTTATCACAGTAAAATTTAGAATTCATTTTATACACTCTACATTGAATTAATATTCATTCAAACAAATATAATCATGAATACTATACATTTAATTATAAAGCAGAGAAAGCGAAATTTTATTGTACTATGGTTCTCTCGTCTATCATTTTTAGTTGAAGCTAACTGAATTTTTTAACTTGTTTAGTATAACTCCAATGAAGATTGTTGATACAAAATCAACTTTAGTTTCCAGCACAATTCAATTGACCGACTTACAGGACAAGGTAAGCTTGTTAGTTGAATCACAGTTCCGATCCCCAGTTTATTTCGTTGTATAAGGGAGTAATGTTGTTATATTGTTCTGATACAATACGATTTATCCACAGAGGCATGGCTAAACTTATTTCCTCTATTAATTAAATTGTTCTAGTGGCTCTTACTATTAACCATGTAGGCCTATGATGTGTACAACAGTGACCTAACTTAACTTAGTATGTGACTATGGCTTGTATAATTTAGCTGATTTTTATACACTTAATCTAATTTTTGGATTAAAATACATATGAATTCTGAAGAAAATAAAGGGAGACATATTTTATCTATTGTTACATAGTCTACTTGAAGCCGTTTAAACAGTAGGTTTTACCGTAGTGGGACGTCTCCTCTTAGCATGTATTTCTTAGTAGTATTTATGAAATTAATAGAGTTTACGAAAGTTTTCGTTTTAGGTCTGACATTTCAATGCTTACGTCTTCATATTAGTGGATAGTTCTAGAATAATAAATGAGGAGATTCGAAGCCCTGGTCTTTTTACTAGCTTCGAAATAAACTCGCTCAAGCGTTGTATGATAAAACACATTCGGAACTGATATTGTCCTTGACAATAAAATAAGAAGGCTACTTCTTATATCCAAAGGAAACTATTTTACTAAACATTGTCTTCACCTGATCCAGAGAATTCAAAAAAATATTTCTATGAGGTATTAAATTTAATTCATCGTTACAGCCACCCGTCATCCATACACTTTACAGTATATGACGTCATAGAGAGATACTCCTGTCTAAGGACCGCTACAAGTGGGGGTCAGCAGCTGAGTGACCTTGGTGATGACCTACTGAGACCGGAGCGTCTGCCGCGCGCGCACACACGCACACTACCGTCTAATTATTCACGCACGCCGCATTACGTCAGCACCATTCACTTTCATCGGTGTACCACAAGGCAGCACTCTTGGTCCTCGCGCCTTTCTCACTTATCGCTCTGCTAATCCCCAATTGTTCACCGTGCAGTCGACCTCAACCCGTTGGCAACAGTGATGTTTAGTTAAATGTGATTACAGTTTGGATTAGTTGAATTTCTGTAGATGGTTGGGTATGTTCTGTTATGTGCCAGTATTTAAATTAAATACTCCTGAAATCCTTTTGTAAATCATTCCACATTAGAATAAGTATTTTTAATGTTCTGCGAACCCCTAGTACTTTCCAAATCATTAGATACTTCTGTAAATTATCATAACTGTGACTTGTTCAAGTGAACAAATGTTGATGTAACTCTTGGATTTTCTGTAATTGTAATTACACACCGACAATCAAAATACACTGAGCTAGCGTATACCCGAATCAATTAACTAATGTAGATAATAATTACAATAAAGCAATGTGCCAAGTTTGCCGACTAGATAGTCTGAATTCTCGACGGTTCGATATTTTGCTTTTAGGCCGATGGAGGTAAAATACTCAGATAAACCCGTAATTATAAGAGATGAAATCCTCTGAAAAATTATAAAACTCGATGTAATTATTTTAACGTACGACATACATTCGTTTCTTTTGTAATGCTGAATAAAATAACGTGACAAAGTTTGTTCATATGGTTGAAAGACACCCTGTACATAATATTGTTTGTAGAAAACCGACAATCCGAATGGGTGTCAACAAAACGTAAATTAACCGTTTCCTAAAAATTACTCCTTCAATTTGGTCATAAAGTGCAAGTGACAATGCAGTAAACTATAACCATGTATTATAGGTTTCGTGTCTAGAACTCATAAATAAGGTTGAAGAGGTTTCAAGTATGGTGTAAAAAATATTGCAATACTGTAAATGATTTCTGGTGTTCCCGAGACATAAACTACCCCAGATGTTAACGCCTTTGTGCAGACTGTGGGAGTTTGTGATACGACAAAAGCTTAGATTTACAACTTGTGAAACGTGAACATTGAATACGCAGGATATGGAAAGCTTTTAGCAGAAACTGTTGTACAATTGCAATACATTTTCTAATAAATTTTATTGAAGAAAAACTAGTGTTATACAACTTTAAACTAATCATTGTGTATTTTATCCAAATATGAAACCAAATTCAGTAAGATTTTTACCTGTTTTCTTTTTTCAAAACAATACAAGATCAATAATCAACACATTTTAAATGCAGGAGTAATAGTCTTTTCCCCGTTTTTTTACAGTGTGCCTAATGGTGCATAATTATATTCATTCTAATTAAGACTCCTTTTAAAAATCTGAAAACCTCTTCCTTTGCGATAGACGAGTTAAGAATATTAACAAGGACCTTGATATAGTGAAATAAATACCGGGGGTTTGATTAGGAATGAATGCCGTTTCGCTTTGCCAGTGTGTTGTTTGCAGTTTTATTTTATTTCATTACTTTTATTTTTTTGTGTGTATTATTATTCAATATTAACTTAATATTGCTTATTTCAGATTTACTGCAGAAACATGTATTTTACAAGCCAAACAAATTTCACTTGTACTTTTCAAACACTTATTCGGTGATACGCCAATCAAAAACTATAACTATTACAAACACTCTCTTCAAATACTAAAAAGTTATATTCCCTTGATAGAATTTTTACTTGATATGCACGTGAAGCTAATAAATCTTTAAAACATATTCATAATTTGGCACGTGTTTCAATCATCAGAGTATAAACAAATTAAGAAACCAATTGAATTAATAATTTGCCATCGGGCCTATGCAATCTTGCGTTTAATAGCTGTTTTAACATAAAAGGTGACTGGCCCGGGCAGATTACAAGGGGTGAACTTTGATAAGGCTGGCGCTTGACGTGAAATTACACCTTGCATCGCTTGAATGTTAACGAGACATGCGGTTGGTCCGGTAACTGAGAGGCTACATGGCGAGTGTCAAGGCCTGCTAACAACTTAAGTTATTGGTTGACATTTTGATCGGGGCGGTAAAATAAATAATCATGATGAAACATTGATACTATGAAAAAGATTAAATATCAAACCAAAACTAGGTTTGACGAATTTTATTTTATTTCAAACATTAATGAACAAGTTAAATTTGTCTCAAGATCACTTTTTTTATAAAGATTAATAATGAAATAAAGTATTTGGTGACTGATTGGTTGAAATGTTTAACAGATGGTCAATGTTTCCTAAACTCGTCCAGAGAAAAATCAGTTGTCTTTATAGTTTGAATCTTTGTCCACCTCTAGGTTTATTTGGTTATCTGATTTGTGATAAATTACTTTAGTCGCTGTCTCAAAAATTGTGGTAATGATACCAGTCAAATAAAACATTTGTTTGCATAAATCCATCTTCTTAGAATTATTCTAGTTCCATACACCATTTTAAGTATCAAAATTCTGCCATGGAGTTTGTATTGTAACCGAAAAATTAAAGTGATTCTAGTTCAGGATCGTACGATGGCTAATTTGTAATCACTTTACCTCGAAACCTTTTTAGAAATATTACAAATAACTAAGGTCGTAAATATTAAATTCCCCCCAAAAAACATTGATGTAAACACTTATTATTTTTAAATTATACTTCAGCGGAAATATAATTTGTTCCCACTGAAAGTAACGAGTATAAAATGTTACTCAAACACGTATTATTCTGAAGTCACAAACAACTCCATAGGGACAAAACAACAAAACCTGCAGTAGCGCCGAGCGTTGATGTCTTGCCTACCCTCCTGGTACTTAACTATTGCGCGTCCACTACCCGTATAACCGCTGGGTTACCACAGCCAGCACAACAATGCTTATTGTTAACTTTATGCTGATAAGTGTTTTGTTAACACCCCGCTAGTACAAGGTTACCTCGCTTGGTTTCATGGGTTACGTCGTCGCCGTTGTCTTAACCATTGACTATAAAGTTAATAGTAGATATTTCAACGGACAGCTATTCTCAATGTGAAACAAATTAACAGGGAGTTTAGTGGTCTTAAAGTGAGTAATAATAAATCTAGTCGAACGTCAATATGGGTGTTGGATAAAGTAAATGTAATGATTAGTCCGTCTGTAGGTTATATGCATTTCTATTTAAAACTAGCTGTATAACATTTTTTTAAATAACTCTTTAAAAGCCCTTTTAAAAAAGTCCACTAGTTTTTGGATTAGTGATTGGATTGTTATTACTTGTTTTATATTGTAAATACCGATGCTTAAATTGATCTATATAAAAGTAATATTTTAACTTATTAAAATTTGGTTCACAAACTATTTGTTATACTTTGTATAAAATTATCTATTTTAAAAACATATTAAATTCCTTTTACAGTCATAATGATTTAAAGTATGCCTATTTCTTAAAATGGATAATTTACCCATAATTGCGGAGAAGGTAGCGGCAAATAAAATAAGTTAAGAAAATGTATGAATGTTTTACTATTTATTTTATTTTCAATTTACTACCCAGAAAAATATTTTATAAATTTAACCAATAATTGCTGAATTATTTGACGCCCCAATAAGGTACTTTCACGTTTCAAACAACAATAAAAATGTAAGCAACGCTGTAAAACCTTTTAGCAATTTTACACACTCATCACTTTATCAAAACCCACTCTCAAACTCAAGCTGTCATTGGCACCTACAACAAAGTTTATCTTCTTACATTAATGTGCCTTGTTGAATCACACGCTGTTTTGGCGGAAACTGGTTGTCGTCAATCCACTAAACCAAGTCAAATCCTCTCTCACACACTGACAGACTCACACACTCACATAATGACAGAACGATCCCACAGTTGTTAGCGTTTAGGTCAGTTCTCAGCCGTTATGCGTATCATGACGGAATTTGTTGATTGTTGCCAACTCAACTGAATAAACGTGCCAGGATTAGGGCCACTAGAGACCCACTGTTGTTTTCTTATTCAACCGGTCTTAGAGAATATCGTTTAAAATATAGACCCTTCAAGTGTTTCTACGTGGTAAACAATTTTTACCTTTACGTCATTATAATTATAATGAGTGTTATTTTATTCATCTGGATTTATTTTATTTTGATTTTCTAAGCTTCTATTGAAGTGATAACCGTTTAAATTGGTCAATTTATAAAATAGCAATCAATCATAAAGTTGATGCTGAGAGCAGTAAGAAAGTTTACTAACTTTTTCAATGCCATTATCTTGCTCCCAAAATATCTTTTTAGAAGTGTTGATATAACATTATGAATTATAATTTCGAAGACCCATGTGGGTATCTCACGCGCTGAAGACCCACAAACTGATAGCACAGGCTACGATCATGTGCTATGTATGTCCGATTGTACACATCACTTCATCAAAAGCCACACTCAAACACAGCTGTGATTGACGTTAATAGAAACGATTATTCCTTAAAATTAGCTATGGTTAGGAAATTTGAATTTGATCTCTATTCGGGGTGGTGAAACCTGTCCTTTTGTTCACAACATAACGAAATACTACAACCATAATATTGCTATTAAACCTTAAAATCAGTAACAGTAAAAAAGAATTGTCTGTCTTTTTGAAATTGTTGTGTATTTTACTTATTATTTTTTTACACTTTAATATATAACTAAAATAGACTAGACTTTTGTAATACTGATCTATATTTATTTTTATTAAAAACCAAATTAGTTTGCAGAATTAATTGTAAAACATAATAATAAGGTATCCGCTGTCACACTTACTGTACTTATCAAGCTGATAAAAATAATTGAATACAAAATGTACTTTTAAGTGTAAATTGCTCGATTCAATTTGATATTATTACCACAAAGCGGAATCTAAATAAATTCAGTCGTCAATTTCGTATAAACCTGTTTATAATAACAATATTTACTCTCACAAAGAGCTTTAAAAGAGTGTAATACCATGGATTATCACGATTGATTTGTTTTTATTACATTTCAAATCAAACATGTTGTATTCATACGAAGCCATGTTTACATGCATGAGTGTATTTTAATGAGACCGATTTCTCTCTGCGATAAAGTAGCATTTTATCCCAAAAGCCTTTTGGTAAAATAACTCGTTCCTTTTTACGCTTGTCAAAGTCACTTTATGAGCGAAACTATTTAATATTAAAATGTTGAGCTTTACGAGCAGTTTATTTCATTAAATTCTGCAAAAAACTAAATAATTTTGTTTATTGAAACATAAATGATTATAACAACTCATACTCGGTAATGAAACCTTCCTGAATGAATTGATAATTTTGATAAAAAAAAACCTGATAATCAGCATACTTTATACCACGAACTGTAGTCACATTTAATATTTCGTATATTGATGGATAAAAATTATATGGTTTACTATCATGACCTTTTCAACAGGACTTACATGTAAATATTTTTAGTCGATTCTTGTTTTGTTATATAATTTTAATGTCCTTTTTAGACTATAAAATTGTTAATATTTTGAGTTTAGGTTTTAATTGATTGTAATACAGTATAACTTATACAGTATAACTTAGAATTTACATCATCAAATGGCAAGCCCTGTCTTTCATGTGTTATTTCTCAAAATCCAACTGAAATTGTTAAGAACCATTGCCTCATTAGCTATTACAGTACCAACCTAAAATATTTTAAAAATCACATTTACATTAAATTTGTGATTTTTCAAAATGCATTAATATTCACACCAATACAAGAATGATTTAAGTTTAATTGAGTGTGTGTTTTATAATGTAAATATTCGTATTTGAATCCAACTATCAACTTTTTATTCAATACTTCGCCGAACTTTAAATTTAAAGAAAAAATTAACCTTGAACTTACCACCAAAGCGACCCTCACCACGAAGATGGTCGCCATGTTTTCAATCTCTCAGAATACCATCTCACACTCACACACGGCCAAGACTGCGTAAGGGGCAGAGCCCCCCGCCATTTATAAGCTCGGGGAGCATCTTCAGGGCCGGGGGCGCGGTCTCGGAGGGGGATATTCCAGGGGGACGGGGGACCGCGAAGAAGAGTCAGTGTGCTGGCGCGCCGGCCGGCGGCAGGTACAAACTGCACCTGATGACGGCGCAAGTCTACGAAACGTCGACCAACTCCCTCCCTGTTACCACGGAATAGAGATTGCTGTTACTTATTAAATGTTAGTGTTTAAATATTATTAGTATTAAATAAACACATGTAATTTTAATTTGAAAATAGATTTTCGTCTATTTATCAAAATTGAATATTGTTTAACATGCCAATTTCTTAGATCTCCAGTATGTGAACTAGTATGCCTTTAGTAATACACCTTTACTGGAAATAAAATAATTGGAAAATGGTGTTAAATACATATTGAATTATTTATAACACAAGTTAAATGATGAGATACAAGCCCGAAATTAAAGTACAGTAGTATCACAAATGAAATATACTCAATATTATAATCTTACGTTATTATTAAGGAATTTAATTGTAAGTCGATATTAACCATTGCATAAACCCCTTTTAACGTCACGTAAAAATAATTTCATAATTAATTGAATTTATAATTCTTTTACAAATTGAATCGTTTAAATAACAGCCTTTTTTAGTAGCAGAACTTATCGTTGAATAGTTGGAGTTTGATCGACTTTCAAATGATTTGTGTATGATATCTATTGTATAATTATACAATTATAACAGCTATAATTGAATATTTACAAATCCAAAATTCCTAGATGGTTAATTACATATTGGTAAATACCTGAGATCCACGAATCATCTGTACACCTCAAGGTTAAAGTTATATTCAAGGATTCCAAACTATACTGCAACGTTCAAATCACGATATATAATTTTTAATATGAATATTGCCATGACTCCTCGTATATGTTCCGCACAAATTTCCTTCAACACATTTCATGGTCAAAACCATCGTATTTTTAGGATAAACTGAAAACTTTGTAGTCATAACCATAAAGATGATTTGTTAAATCTGTATTACCTATGCATTTTTAACTTATCCACAGAATTGTGTGTTTTACACCACAGAATTTTGTAAAAGTAAAACGTCTGATAAATGTTCTTATAGTAAAAGGTTTTGATGAAAAATTAGAAGAACTAATCCGTTTGTAGTAACAGATATTTTGTTAATGCTTCAGAGTGACAAGTGTTTTATTTTATTTAGCTTTAAAATTTGAAATCTGACAGTGACGTCAAAAGATGAGGTGGTCTTTGAGTGGCAGCATTCTCTGTCACTGGAACAGACAGCATCATAACCACGATATCAAAATTCTGTATCGGTTCCGTTTTATCAAAACATTAATTCTAATAATATCTATATTCAACATTATTTTAACTTAATATTATTTTCAAATTTTATTTTACATTCATTTGTTACAAATAAAATAACAAGGAAGGTATGGGGGCTTAACAATATAGAGTGTACATAGTATGCCTACAACCATTACTGTTAGTAAACTATATTAAAATTAGGTCATTCTTTGAGTGTGTAAGGTAAAGATTTACTTTTAAAAATCTTAATATTACTATAAACTTATTTCGTTAACAATACTATGATTCAAACATGCTATTCCTCTTTATTAGTTCAACGAAAATCAAAGTGTTCAGAAGAAAACTGAATTTTAATTAAATCTGACGGTGTTCAGTAGAAATATATTTGTTTCTTGATCATCAAGTTTTCTATCAATGCAAAGGATGTACGTCCTAGTTGGCCCGTATAACTTCTTTAGATATATCTATCCGTTTATTGATCACAATATTTCCATAAATTCTGTCCATTTTCCAATACAAGAGACTATTGATTCAATGACTGCAAGGTGACCCGAGAAAAAGAGGCTTGAAAATCACTCCCGTGCCTCATGGTGAATTTGTGATGAGCTACCACTGTTCTGGTTTATATTTCATTGTTCTAAAAGTGATAAGCTATCAACGTACGGATGTTTCATTTGTAGCTTCGTTAGTCCATCTGATGGGTTGACTTAAGTTATATGATCCAGTTTAAAATTGAGGAAAAGTCCTCGGGATAAGAAATTTTGTTAACTGTCAATATTTTTTGTATAGAATCTTTTAACAGCATATATTTAAACATCCTGACTCATAATTATGACACATGAAGTTATCGAAAAAGAAATTTTCTTCACAAATTTATAAGGAAAAATCTAGATAAACATGAGTACAAGGTTTTGAGAGATCAGAAATATTTCCTTAGTCTACTATTATTTTGGCATTTGGTGGCATGGTTTTCTCTGCAACGTAGATAAGTAAACCCCTTATTTTTACTGACAGTGTAAGCCTATAGAGGCAACTACGTTCACTTTGTTAGAATTTTGTAAACGCAACCTCTAATGAGTTGATTTAACGTTTTTCAATACACGCTTTAATTTAATACATCACATAGGTACGATTCAGGCTTTCTGTGAATTGTTAGATAATAGAATTGTAAGAATATAAAATATAATTGGTTTTCCAATAGACAAAAGAAATATTTAATATGCACACGATCTTTATTTTGAAAAAAAAAGATGCAAGGTATTGTTACCATTCACAGGAAGGCCCCTTAAGATTCAAGATATACTGTACTGAGAAAAATAAAAATCGAATTTTAGTTGGCAACGCCCTCAAAGTGCACTCTGATTTAATTTCAAAGATACTTAAATATTCCTGGAAATGATCAGAGGAATTTTGGTTTGAAAGCTTCGTGAAACACCAATTTCATATAGGTTGGTAATTATAATTGTATTTTTAAGGATCTGTCCTTTCTTTGGCTTACATTAGAATTTGATTTTGTTCTTGTAAATATATTTCCTTCTAGAATTAGTGCTACCGGTAGTATGAATAAAAATAATATTTACGTTCGAACATTTTACTTTAGTGTAATTCTGAAAAAGCATTTACGTTTTCAACTAATACAGGTTGATATTACCTATTTGCTCAAAACGATCACTTGGCGGTGCGAGTGCGATACGATGACGAGTGTTTTTTTTTTTTTTTAAGTTGCATATGTTCAAGTAGAAAATATCTTGCTAATCCCTAATGTGGAGTTCGTAAAAAATATAAATAAATACACGGGAAATACATATGAATACAACACACATTTGTGGTCAAACTACCATTAAGTAATCGTTTTGACAGAAAACCTTTAATATGAACCTATATTAGCTCATTCAGACGATCCAGAAGCCATTCCCTCATACATTTTTAAGTATTGATGGTATTTGAGTTGTCTGAGAACAGAACATTTTAATATAAGTATTTTCACCTTTAATAACTTGAAACAAGTTCACCTTCGTCAGTTGACGTAGTAGCTAAATATTATTAGTTAACTCCTTGTTGCTTAGTGGGTGGTTATAATACATGCATTAGAGAAATCAAAGTTTTATTGCTAATAAAGTCAACATTCCTATTATTCTTCAGTTAAATCCTATCAGTAAAAAAACCGTTACATTTGAATAATGAAGACGGAAACAGATGTATCTATTCGCTAACCTCTTTAGTGACACTTCTATCTAAATCTCCGGAGTAAATTGGCACTTCCTAATCCTAGATTGACCTTATACTTCAGAGATTGACCCTGAATAGCCTCAACCGGCTCTTCTATGATAGAGCATCAAAGCTATCCTATTAATGGGCCGATATTGCTCAATAACTGCATTAGCCAGGAATGATAACTTAATATTCGGACAGATGTCAGGAATCTCCCGTTATTTTATAGTTGGGCAACTGACCGGGCCTAGGCGCTAACACCCACACGTCCCAATGCAGCGTTCTTCTCATTTGGAAGGCAGTGATAGGTGCCATAGTCTTTTGGCGATATGTTTTTCTGAGCGATAATTTTTAATGGTTAATGTGGCAAATTTAATTTACTTTTCGGATCTTGTGATAAAAAAAACTGTTGAAAGTTATAACTCTCCGATGATGTTTTCTGTACCAATATTAATAATCTGAAGTAACATGTATCATAACATAACTTTTCCAGTCCCAAACAATACTATTCCTGTCCTAGATAATAGTTTTTGTGCTACAAAACAAATATATCTTTCCAAACACACCTTGTGACTAGTAGTGTACTATTGTGTTTTTTAAATATGGTTTAAGGTTTTTTCCTCAGGGTAATTGTAGAAGCTATGTCAATTAAAAAGCTATGTCGAATGGTATTTTCAATTTTATCACTGTAATATACATCCACATCAAATGTTATGGCAACAATCTGTAAGGTAGCATGAATTAGAATGCTAATATCCCTGTTTCAGCAAACCTGCAAGCTAGGTGACTTTCCAGCTGCTTGAGAAAAATAGTATGTATTATTTAGTGACTTAATCAATATTAACATTTTATATGGATTTCATCTCTATATTGCGTAACCATAAGTCATTTTTGAAAATTCAATAATGCTAGGCATATAAGTGTGTTTGTTCTCATGAGTTATGTGATGATTTGAGATATTGACAAAACAAAAGCCAACTTTGACGTAAGAGCAGATTGGTGTTATAAGCAACTTACAACTTAATTAGATCCTGTAAATGAGTCGTAGCTATTTCACAACCTCTAATGTTGTTGATAGGACAGTTAAGAACTTTTAGAATTTCAAACTGAGAATAAGAACGAGACTGAATTGGCAAGGTAGCTATAGTTTTTAAAGTAGCTTATGCTTTTTACAATAATCTAATATGCACTTTTAACATCTATATCAGACGTAAAACTAAAATTGTAATAGTATTAGAGCATTTATATAGAAAATATTTCTAGCTTTTTCAACTATCTAAATCAAATAATACACTTTTATCAGCCAAGTTTACTTAAGGCGATAATAATTATTAACAAAACCGAGAATTCTAATGAAGTGTTTTAAAAACATGTATGTAATAACTAATTTATTAGATTAATGATACGTATTTATAACTTTTTAC